AGCATGGAATAAACCTATTACTTGTTCCTTTGCAGCCTACGCATGCTGACGCAGCTACCCACCTGAATTTGTAGAGATGTCTTTTTAAGGCATAAGTTCTGGAAATCATTTATGTGAGGGCAAAAGTTACACAAAATGCCTTTTTTTACTTAAACTATACTTTTTACTTAAAGAATACATGTTTTTTTTCCCATCTTGGCCATGATATCTTGGCTCAATCTCTTCCTGAAATGTAGCTGGTCTGCAGGTATCCTCAAGACTATTAAAATGAGCTTATTTAGCATCTACTGATTAAGTTCTAATGGCATGTGGGCACAGCAAATACATACCTGTGGTTTCTTCATGATTTGGATGAAGAACATGTGATTCTTCACTGGATAAATAATAATTAACACATCCCCGAAATCTGTGGGTATAATGCCCCTGCGATAGTCCCTGTTGTGCTCAGACCAGACGATGTGAACCTCATCATTTCCCAGGTGACGAAGCTGAAACAGTAAATTGGTTCTTGATTAACAGAGGTGATGACAGAAGTTTATTAACAGATCAAACATTTCACTAATTAAATCACTGACAATCAGCTCCTCTCCATGTGTCCTGCACATGTGCACGTATGTTTTGTACATATTCAAAATCAAAGCTTTACATAAAACCATATTTCAGCAGAAAAAAAAATGTTTATAAAAAGCATGTAAGTGTATGGTAAAGACTGGCGGCACTCTAAAATTTGGTGAGGAAGCTCTTGATAACATACAGTTGCACAGTTAAGGATGACACTATAGCGGAAGTTAAAAAAATACACAACAAACAGGAAAGATCTTTGTTAGGGAGGTGGAGAAATAAGGAAACAATTTAAATAAAAAAAAACTTCCTTTAGCATAATATGACAATTTACAAACAAAACTGTTTGGAAAACAAATATTAGTAACTTAACTACATAAACATATGACCAACACTAAACTGTACTAACAAGCAAATGCTATCAAACAAATGACACTGGTTTGGTAAAAATATTTCCAGCCTTGCAAGGGTAAGTAATTGTAGACCCAGCATTTAAGGAACAAAACCTACAGTAGAAATAAAAATTGAATGTTGCGCATATTTAATAGAAATGTCACTTAAAGATTATTTGTTCCTCTGCATGTCCATAAACAACTGAGGTAGTTAGAGCAAATCCAGGAAATCGTTCAAAGGACAGATGAATAAATCTTTATTATACATTTCCCCACTTACTTCTAAATATATCTTTGCATTTCTTTCAATAGCATTAACTTGCCAGCGTGTACACCCCAGCCCACATTACCCCTTGTTAACCCCAGTTCCTCCCACCGAAACCCACTGTGCATCACCAGCCTGCACACACTCCAGAACAAACACTCGATTCTCTTGTCTTAGAAAAACAGGCTCTTTTCTTCGCTGACTTGTCGTGTGCCCCAGTAATTTATATGCTAGTGCAGATACTGCCTGTGGCAATCCAGTTTGTAAGCATGGCAGGCGTCAGACCACTTGTCACTCTGACACAAGCCCTGTACCCCACAGCCTGACCTCCTTGTCCAGCTAACTGCATTAACAAGGCCAGCTGGTCTGTCAGGCTAGAAGCCCTCAATTGGATTGAGGAATTCTTGCTTTTTTGCTGGGGGATGATAACCCTTCTTTTTCCAAGAAACAATCTGGTCTGCAAACTACCCCTTGTTTTGCGTGAACTGGAAAACCTAAGTTTTATTTGTAAATTAACCAAGAAACTTCCTGCCAGAGCCTGACTGCCTGGATGCTGATAATGTGCCCCTTTCATTCCCCCCACCCCACTCATGCTCTGTAGCTGCCAATTTGTTTTCCTGATGCTGCCCTGCCTCGGGCTACGAAGGGCCTTGTAAGATGTAAGTGCAATTACAGTGCTTGGAGTCAAATGAATTGAACAAACCCAATAGCACAACTCTGTCCCAAGCTTTGCAAACCCTTCAGCAGTTAGATTAGCTGTTGAAAATCTAATCTCGTAAAAGCTAACAAATTTCTCTGGCTACTGAGCAAAGGTTCAGTATGGGGTCGCCGGTGCTTTTCAGGATCTGATGAATTTCCCTCACGATGGGACATTATATGATAGCACGAATCACTCTGGCAGCCTCGCAGCTCATTTTTCAATGCTAACTGCAGTTCAGGGGCTGTACAGGGACATGCTGATACAGCTATTGATTTCCCCCTCTGGCTTCACAAGAATCAGATAAAAGGCTTCTCATTCCAGGCAGTAGGTGCCTAATTTTTTTACTCCCTGGCGCTTGCAAGATAATCTCTGAATCAGGGTCCAAAGCACACTACAACCAGCACCATCACGGAAAAGAGGAAATCGAGGTACAATTAAAGGTAACACACTCATTATACCGCCAGCACATGCCTCTTTTCAGTCACCTTTCCTTACCTCTGATGAAAATAGACATTCACAAGAGAGATGAAATAGTAATGGGTGACAGAATGTATTTAAATATTTCATGCTATCCAGACTCTAACGGTATCTTGCCTAGCGCCACCAGGGGTCTTGACCAGCAATAGACATCAACTAGTTAGAAATCTAACTTGTAAAAGGTATATTGTTTTCCAGTATCCAGCCAATAGTGCAGGTCAAAGTGTCCAATTTATTTCTGTTTGAATTATAGTTCTACTTTACAATGAAAAACCAGTGTTAAAAACCAACTGCCTCAAACTGAGGAACTGAAATAGCAATGTGAAACACATCAAAATGCCAGTGGGTTATAAAGTTTACCTGTTCTCAGAAAATCAATACAAATATATCTGTGCGTTATAAAAGACAAAAAAAAGATTTACCTAGTCACTTCTTCAACTAACATAAAAACAAATAAAACCTATACAAACCAAAATGTATTTAGGGTGGCATGGATGTGTGCTTTGTTAGAGCTGTTGCCTTGCAGGCCTTAGTTCAGTTCCAGCTGTTTGTTGGGGTATGCATGTGGGATTTCTTTGGGTGTTCCTGAACATAGCCACGCTACATACTGTAGATCAACTGGCATCTCTCAACTGCAGCTGGAGGTGTGTGTAAATGAAAGCAAGCGTGTGTCTGCCCTGTGATAGAAGGCTCCTGTCCATGGAGTGGTCTCCCCTGTGCTCTGTGCTTACTGGGTTATGCTTTGGCACACAGTGATCCTCTAACATTAAGGCGGTGACAGAAAATTAATTAAAAACACTTTTTCAATGTGAACCTCATTGGCACGCTGTAGCCTTCACAAACATCCAGCTACTGTTTGATGTTATATATGACCAGAAACACCTGTTTATCTCATTGATTTGCAAATAATTGCATCTCTTTGCCCTGTACTCTTCAGATGTCAATGATCCAGATATTATTCCATATAATAATTCCAGAAATACTTAATACTTTAATCTCAGTTCTCACAGAGGAACATTAAAAACAGAATCTGGACTTGACTGCTATGCACTTCTGTAACACCTAATCCAATTGACATGTATAATAACCTAAAAACTATGGGTATCTGTTAATATAGTGACTTAATTATACTTATAAACTAGGATTTAAATACAAAAGATTGTTTAATGTAAGTTATAGGTTTGCAATGGAAAACAATGTTCTTAAACAACATTAAGAAACACTTCATGAGCGTGCACTACTTGGACTGAAGGACAAATGTCTTGCAGTTTTAAATGTATCTGAGATATTGATTACTTAAATGAATAAGTCATTTTTTTGTCAGTGGCTATACTTGACAATGACTGAGCAAACTCTAACCTACAACTGTTTTCAAGGCTTCAGCCATTATGAAGTTACCCTCTAAGCCATTGAAGACAGTGGCTCTTTGGGACTAAGAATGGATACCCCTGGCATAAGAATAAATAAGATAAAATCAGAATAAATTTTGACATTCATGTTTCCTAAGGGTTTGGTCTACCCTTTAATCCAATGATGAGCCTGTTTTATCGGTAAGTAAAACCCTTATAACTTACCTTTTTAGTAAGTGAATCATCCGAGTCTGAGGGCATCCTTGTAGACACATGGAAAATAACTTCAACTGTGGAGGTAGCAAAATAGGGTGCAGTGTGTCCTGTGCTGCCATTTCTCTGCAGGCCTCCCATGAATCCACAGTGAGTGGCCAAGTCCACCTGCAATATGTCCAGATCATAACACATTACACAAAAATACCTTCACAACCCCCTGGGGTCAACCAAGATAAAGTAATAGCTAGAGTTCATAAAACACCTCACTGGGAAACCATAGAACTATCAATTTAATCAATCATTTAGCATGATGTGCAATTAACACAATTAGAATTTAGACAAAATAATGATCATATTGATTTAAGTCAATTGATATTATCAGTTCTGACGCAATTTTCTCATGATATCACTTCTTTTTATTTAGCTTGCACTGCAATACTGTATATTCGAAAAAAACTGATTTCCTGGAATAGTCCTCAATTGCATTTTTAAAATAGTACTTACTGCATTTTTTGCTTATTATTTTTAATAATGCAAAGGAGACAACTGAAATTAGCAACCAAAAATAAGAACACTCCTGAGTAAAAAAAGCAGAGATGTATACTGAAAGTAACCATTTATTATTCCATGAATCAATTGGTATGGTTCTTAAGCAATACATAACAACTTAACACACGTTAGACATTCTAATTCCACTGTCAGTCAGCAGCACATGGATGCACAGAGGTCATGAGGGGGTAAATACATTTTCTTCAATAATGGCCAGTATCCATTATGATTTCCATTAACACTTGGTACTGTTGTCAGGTATATTAATCACTCTGTCATGAAGACCGACCAAGTACTTTGCCAGTTTCAAAGGAACATGCTACACCAAGACACTGCAGGAGCAGAAACGTCTTGGTCTTGAACAGACATGAGAGCACTGATTCAAGAGCCTCAAGTCCGGGCTTCAACCACCTGGCTGGGAAGCATGATTTAGATACCCACATCTTTTCCATATCCTTAAAGGTACTGACAAAGTTCACCATCATGTAGATATGGACTTCCTGAGAATGAATAGTGAAACACAAACCAGAGGACACAAATGCAAACTAACAGAAGTACAATCAAACTATGAAGAGGCATTTATTTGCACAAATCTTCACTTGTTGTTGAAGCTGATATCACAACTTCTTTTAAGAAACAGCTGGGTGAGCTCCTCCCTTAACTTGTAAAAACCCCAATGAGCTAGATGGGCAGAATGACATCCTCCCCGTTAAAATTGCATGTTTTCTGTATGATGCAAGATAATAAAGAAATACCTCCCAGCCAAGTCCAGAGACAAAGTCTTCATATGCTTGACTACCTTCAGTGTTGGACAGAATAGAGCACTTGTCTTCTTGGCCATCGCCAATATAAAACACGGCTATCTTGTGGGTTTCTCTGCTGCAAAGAAAGAATCCATTTGCATTATAAAAGGGTTTCCATCCATCTGTACATCTGTATGGATCTCGATGTCCCTCCCTCTTTGTATGCATGTGTATTAGAGGTTTATAAAATACCACAATAAACTGGTGTGCTGTATCACTGGCAATGCATCAGATTGTGATATCCTTTCATCTTGTTTTTTTCCACATCATTCTGCAATGTGACTTTTGCTGCTCAATTTTTCTGTCAACCCAAAACTAATAAATGAATAAGAAATATTGTTATGAAAATAAAATATTCCAGCTTCAAGTCAGCCCCATTCATTCAATTTGCTGTCTGCAAAAACAGGCCACAGCTGTCGTCTAGGGAATTAAATGTTTCTCGGTTGCTTTGATTCTTTCAACTCAGTCACTGAGCAAAACGTCAGTGAGCTTGGTGGTTTATGTGTAGGAAGTGTCATTGCTGTCTCTTTAGCATTGAGTTTGGCAAAGCATTATTGGGAGAGCGCGTGATAATCACCCCGGTGCTAGACATGCCATTAGCCTTCCATCAGAGGAAAAGAAAATATTTGGGGAAAACGCATACATTTCTTATCTAAATGAGCACACAAAGACACATGTGTGCAGTAACATGACAGATGTGCAATTCAAACAGTGACAAAGAGGGAGGATGCCGGTAAACTGTGAAATGTAATTAATAATTCAATTTCTTACATTTAATATGCAACAATGCTATTTCGTAATTTATCACCAAACAATATTCTTGAGCAAAAGCATAACTGGGTATTTCACGTGATTAACCTGAAGTGCTACAATTCCCCAAAACCTCTGTGGTTCTCTTAAACAGGCTGCACATAAAGTAATTATAATTACGATTGGTATGAGTAGTGATTAAATCTTAAGGAACATAAAAATTGTTATTAGATCAAGTGCATTTGGAAACAGTAATGGCATAGTGTAAAAATAATGCTTCAAATGTAACATCTTTAGGAAACAGCTGAATAGAAAGACTTCTCTTTTACATGTTAATTTCTGCTTCAGTTCTGTGTTTCACTTTATCTGCCTTGGATGTCGTATCTGCTTCTTAAACGCTTTGAGGTCAATGCAAGATATCAAAAAGACTTTAGTCAATTAATCACACACACTCAGAAATCACAGCAAGTCAAAGTAATCTATACTTCACAATAACTCTTGCATTGGAAAACGGATATAAATACTGTGATAAAACAAGGAGAGGGGATCAAACATCATTTCTCTATTAACATGTTGTTTAAGAATGGACTCTCTTTCTGTCCTTTTAGGATGCTGACATTTATAACTGTTGAGAAGTGTTCTAGATAAAATACCAGAACTTTAAGCAAATTGAAGATCACTATTCTTTTTGAATAAGAAAGATTATGAAAATAAGATATTCCAGCTTCAAGGCTGCCGCATTCATTCAATTTGCTGTTTTTGTTTCTTGTATGTTACTCAATACGTTCCGTTACCCTTTCCTGGTAACTCCTTTAATAAAAGACAATGCATGCATTAAAGGCTAGGGTAAAATAATTAAGAGAAACACATATACGCCTTCTCGCAGGAAGACACTATTGCTCTATTACAACCATAATCACCTGGTATTTGAACAGCTTCTTCCCTAGGGCTGTCATTTTACTTAACCAGAATTCCTAGTTATCGTGCACTGTCCTGATGGTGTCTATTGGTCTTGTTTTGTGCTTGGTACTGTACTGTATATGTCAAATGTTTTTGCAGCACCAAGCACACCAGTGTAAATTCCTTGCACAAGAAATGGACAGGTACTTAGCAAATAAAGGTGGTCATGATTTTGAAATTAACAGCTACCATTGTATTATTGCAATTATCAGCATCGAAGCACTTTTTAACCAACAACAAAGGCAGAAATAGGAATTGACACAAAAAGATACACAGAATTTTCATTTAACTTACCATTGCCTTGAATCCAAGTTTTTAAGCTCTCTCAAAAGCTTAGAGTTTTTCTTCAGAAGATGAAAACTTTTCCTGTTGAAGACAATTTTAAGCATCGTCAAAAACAATTTTCAAAACATAAACCTACTTGGATCAGTTACACCAGTTTAACTTATACCCATTAAAACTGCTCATTCCACTGACATCGACCTAATTAAAAATATATTTCTATTATTTACAAAAACCCTCCAAATAACACTAATACAATTTGTGGAAAGAATTAATTTTATATACAACCATCTCTAATAGCTCAAATATAATATGTATGATTTAAATTTACATCTAAGCGCAGTACATACTGAACACACAGTACGTATTTTTTAAATTCATATCTGAATATAAATTTATGTGAAATTCTGTTCTTGATTTTGTGGTATAAAAACCTTTGGCACTACACAGGGATTTTTACACCTTTGTAGCAGACATTCACACCTCTCTGGACTTCATCAATAAGAGGTGAGAGATAGGAGAAGCTCTGATATCCAGCTACATATACATTTTCACCTCTGCCAAAAGTGTGCCAGCCTAATTTTAAGAGAATGAAATAAATAAAGGGGTGAAAGAAAATGCTTTAAAAGCTCTCGGTATATGGAGTGAAACATGGGCGCTGATCGGAGTGCTGGCTAGGAATGTTACAGCATCTTCTGCTGTAACTTTCTAAAGGAGATGCTGCACAGAATACAGAGCAGAGTATTGCAGACTACTGTCACATCTGCTCCTTCCAGTCCAGTCAACGGGGAGCTGGAGCCTATACCAACAAGCAACAGGCGGCAAGGCGAGTCACGCATTGGACGGGGCGCCATTCCATCGCAGGGCACTCCCTCATCCCAGGTCCAGTTTTCCCAGAAACCAATTTACCTACGAGGACGTCTTTGAGCTGTGGGAGGAAACCAGACGACCCAGGGCAAACCCACAGAAACATGGAGAGATCATACAAACTCCACACGGACATTTTGTTATTTACACACTTTTTTAAATTTGTTGTTAAGGAGGAGCTCTTATGGTTATGCACTTTCAGTCACCAGTGTTTTAAAATATACACATTTTAAAACAGACAAGGCATTTATATTATTAATGTTAGATAGGTTATGAAAAAGGAGATTACATTCAGAATTGCCTTCTATATTTAGTTTAGTTCCACATTTCAATAACATGAAACAATGAATGCTTTGCAACTCCTTCAATTTCCAAGTGAAATACATTTGTCAGATATGTTTCTGTTGTTTTCATCTGCCTTATTGATCCATCTAAAGCGTTGTGCATCACAAGAGCCACAGGAAACTTGATTTCCTCTGATTAACCTTCCTGCTCATCCCAATCTTTGCAGGGTCAATAAATGCAGCAGAATTGGCTTGTGTGAATTATTACTGCTCTTCTTCAGTATGGTTTCCAGCAGTACACATGTGGTGTTCGCACGTCAACTTTGTGTTCGCAGGAAATATCTTGTTCGGATTGAGTTCAGAACCTTAACCCACCACTAGAATCCTCTAAAGTAAGCAATTCCAGTACAGCACATAGAGGGTGCCTTGAAAGATTCAAGTGAACTGAACTACATAACATGGACACATTTTTAATAAAAACAAATATCTTTGTCATTGTGTTGTTGTACAACAAGTATAGTGCAATACATTAGATACTGTTTAAACAACACACCAGCCAACCATAATCTATTTCTATTTTTGCATTTAGAGTTATACCAAACCATCCTATTTACCCTCAGGAGAGCTTCAGAATAATGCCTAGGCCCTAGGAGATTATTTAAATGAATCCAATATAGCTTCATGACTGACTTTTTTCCCCTACAGTCAATATGTTATACTGATGACCAAAATATGTTATATCCCTTTATATGTTGAAATAGTTTGCATGTACTATTGTTACATATCCACTACCTACAGTATATACAGTACCTGGCCATGAATGGACCTCATTACAGTATTTTTAAAGTTTAATCATTGTGTTCTTATCTAGGTTACTTAGACATCTCAGCACAAAATTCTCTGGGAGTCAGGTTCTCATTTACCCAGATAAGACAATTCTCTCCCCAGAATAATCCTGTCTATCCTGTCTCCTGTATTTTAAGCAATTCCATATCTATCTGTGCAGAGAACCAATTGCACTTGGTGATTTAAATTTAAGAAATAAACAGTTGTGAGGTTCAACATTTAAATGCCTTGCTGATCATCCAGGGGAATAAAACCGTAAGACTTCCCTAAATCAAGGTTTGTAGCTGTATATTCAGGGAATATGAGGACATTTGTATAAGAAAAGTCTTTATCCAAGAACAGTGATGACACTCGCCAAAACTGCAGCTGCTATGTACATAAAATTCTAGTTCTACTTACTGATTCCATGATTTTATATACAATACATTTGTAAGTGATGGCTTCCATATCTCTACATCAACTGTATATTTTATAATATATTTTTAAGTGATGACTTCCATATCTGTATTGCAAATGTATATATATATTTACTGTATAATCTTCCATATTTGTACATTGATACCGACAAGCAATCTTAGTTTTCCTTAAAATAGCTGGGCAAGCCAAGGCAACGTACAGTATAGCACATTCAAATTCTTTTATGAAATGAAGGCACTGAAAGGACACTAAGCTCAAGAGAATCATTTATCTAGGGTTCCAATTTTTTTCACCTTATCCTTCAGGGAAATGGTAGTTAACAAAGCCTACCTCCGGTCCCAGGAATTCATTCCCAGATCATTCAGCAGAAGCCGACAGAAATAGAAAGGAGCTTTGGGTTCTTGATGAGTTGGTTCTTTCTGACTGGCTACCTTCATCCTTAAGTCATTACTGCATTTCTTCACATTTTCTTCTTCCTGGTTAGTCTGCCTCAAGATGGTCTCTGTAATGGCATTTTCCTGCTCTAAACTCATTCCAAATGGTGATGATGCTGGTTCATTCAGCTTCAGCTGAGGCTGGGGTAAGCATTCTGGACTACTGTGGCCAAGATCTTCCAAAAGCTTGTCAAGAACATCATCCCCTTCCTCAGTATCAGGACAATCCCAATTAGCTGGATGCGTCTTGTCCGAAGACCAAGTACTGCCACAATGCATTGTTGGTATGTAGTCATTATTTTGACCAGACATTGGTCCATCTAAAGGCCTATAGAGAACTCTACCATCCCAAGAGTATTTCCCTGAGATATCTCTTACAATAACTCTGACCTCTGAAGAAGCCATCTGTGGCTCCCCAGCTCCAGCCTTTTCTGCTGGGATCTGGAGATATGAAACAAGAGTGCTCTCGTTGAACACAAACAGCTGCAGGTTGGGGCTCTTGAACACTTCGGAGGAGAGCTCAGAGGACTCCACATAGTGGTTGTCATGATTCTCATTGATGAGACTGTGAAGGACGGCTGGACCTCCACTCAGTGGGTAGTGACCCAGATGGTTCACAAGATGCGTCATGATCATCCGAGCAGTTAAGGGAATCAGCTCCATATTTCTTCGTTTCTTCTCTGAGGAAAATAAAGACACAGAAATATTAATCTTCATTCATAAATCTTGAAAGCAGCTGATATTTCGTATCCCAAATTAAGTAAGGTATCAAGTAATAACGATGCTCATCTCTAAACTCCAAAGCAGCCTATATATCCTTCACATTAAAGCATTCTGAGAAAACAATCCAGGATCAGAATGAGACAGAACCACCAGAAGAGAGCTGTGTGAACAGTATACAAGGAACTAAGGATATACATGGACACATGGACATATATACCTTGGCATTAATTCAGTTCATATCAAGTGGGCATTTGTAAATTTTTACAGTTTTGGGGAAAACTGTGTTGCATTAGAAGAGCAGTAATCAATCCGTGAGAAGAAAGTTGCGGACAAATCAGGTAAATATGGAAACACCAAGTAGGATTTCTTGATTAAACCAATTATGAGTACTAGGAGCTCACATTGCCATGGGTAGAATGGAAATTTATTCCATGCAAGATGAAACCGTAGATAACTGGAGTGCTCATTAGGTACAGTATAATAGCTTCACAAACTTCAAAAAGAAGAAAACTGAGCTAAGATGCTCAAAGAGTATCATTCAGCACAGAACTACCTGGGTATACTTTGCCTGTTGTTCTTTCACTATTTATTTCTACTTCCCTCACCTTTTTATGTATTTCAAACAACAACAAAAAAAAGTTAAGCTGATTCTCTCTTTAGCAATCTTCAAAAATATCACACAACTTATTGGTGTACATCATTTTGCCAGTCTATTAATATGCTCAATACTAAAACTTGTGTTTCTGATACACAACCAAAAATGCTTGACTTAAATTTTACCTAGGGAAATATATCAGTGGATGAATGCTTCGGTAATTATTCAAAACTTGTTGCAACCTAAACATGGTTATCACATAAGGCATGTTAGTAAACTGTCATCAAATGAATGGGACACCCATAAAAAATTCACTACTTTGCATATACTTATTATACAGAAAAACGCTGCAACATGCCCATGTAATGAATGGAAATGGAAGTTTAATGAAGTGAAATCCTACAGTAAAAAACTTCCCACCCTTCCAAACCAATCCAAATGAAGAATCTTGAACAGTCTATTGACTATTTAGAAATTCCAGTTTTACCTACAATAAAAAAATACATTATGTTATTTTTGTGAAAAAAATAGAATTAGAAAGCTCGATCAAATGACAACTAATAATTTTATTGTTCTTACTTAAAAAAAACAAAGAACATTTTGTGCATGTTAACATGGTTGCTTACAAGAACTTGTAGAACCCCAAGTACTCTTTCAGATGGTCAGATGCAATAATATGTTTCTAATAACCAAGCATTTGGGACCTTCCCATCCTAGATTCAATAAATAAAGCTACATTATACCAAGAATTGTTTAAAGTTTATATTGTAATTGGTACTCACAAACATTGAGGGCATGAAGCTTCTGTTTCAGAAGGATATTGAAAACAATTTTTCAAAATAAACATCTTACTGAAGATCTGGGCATTTATGTTGAGAAACACTGTGGGCTGATTTGATGTTTGTCACTATGGCAAGGAGCCCATGCTTAACCAAGGAAACTAAAGCAATTAAACCTCAATTAAACAACTTCAATGAAACATGACATGCCTTTTAAACCCATATTGACTTTTTCTAGAATCCTGCAGTAGCCCTACAGATGATGCTCTTGTTTGATCATAATTATCATTTACATAACTTTATGTAAAAAAGTAAGACTTATTGGTCTGTAACTTGAGTCAGTTCCATCACTCTGTTTATGGATTCGAGCCACATCAGCAATTTACCTTCATCATAAATGACTGTTGGAAAAGCTTTGTTAACAGTGTATGAATAACATCTCTTTTTTCCTTAAGTACAGTACATATACCAGAAAACCAACACACCTGGGAAATTTACAACATTTCTACCTCTTCGATATGTATCTTCGCATAAAAACTAAGAACAATTCATTCTGTTGCACCTGTCAGACAGTGTCAAAACTATGCATTAAACTAGTTACCACACAAAAACAAAACCACACAAGAATCTGTTTTGGATTGAGTTTGATACACAAATATAGACAGATGTCTGTGTAAAGAATTTTGGTACATAAATATGGTAAAACACTAATTATAATCCCTAATTACAATCATATAAAAGCTGATATATTTCCTGTGAAAAGTCTCCATCACATGTTCCCAAATTTTTACTTTGATTTTTATTTCTTCTGTACTGATATTCAATTAATTTTCCACTGTTTAGCAGCATGAAAAATGATATTTTCTGTGTATTCAGTAAGCTCTAAAGCTCTGGATTCTAATGTAGTAGGCTTTAACATATTAAACAGATATTTTTATAGTTACAAAAAACTTGTAATTACATTTTTTCCTTCAGCGTTAACAATAAGCATTAGAATCAAACATTGAATGAAACTCAAAATATAAACAAAAAATATATTACATAAATATTTATATTAATAAAACAATTCTTTTGTAAAGTATTATAAAAAACGCATAACAGATGACAGGCCAAATGGCTAACTGGATTAAGTGGTTGCTGGTTGAAAAACCATCTGGTAGTCTGGAGGAGATTCCCGACCAAACAATAAGGATAAAAAAGGGTTCTGCTAAGACAGAAGGTAAGATCATTCTTACAGAGTCTTCCTTCCAAGCACACTGTATTTAAATATGTAATGGTTACAAATAAAGAGGTTCCAAAAGGCACAGCATTCTACAACTGCTTTGGAAACACTTGTCTGAGGCACTGTAAAGAACACTGATTTATCCAAAGGCACATATTACATACTTTAAATTTAATAAAGACAATATACATCTTTTTTCCAAGTAAGTAACTATTACTGAACTATTACGGAAGATGCTATAAATAATTTGTGAATATTCACAAGTCACAGACAATGAACTGAATCTTTCACGGAAAGATAGCCATGCAAAATACATTTAGAGGTTTGTCCTCAAACTACTCCAATCAAGAAAGACCTTTGGTGTTTAAAGGTACCAAGATGATGGATTTCATCCTGCTCTGATTCCCTGTTAGTCTGCTGAGCAATGTTCGTTTGTTTTATTACAGATACAGTACAAACGTCTGACACTGTTGGTTTTCATACTGTAAATCAGTACTGGACTCTGAGCAGAAGACTTCATGTAAGGGACCTCACAGGCAGTCCCTGCATTGTTATGGCCAATTCTGTGTCACTTCTGGGAACTCTCAAAAACGGGCAGCAAATAGTCCAGCCTGTGATTCTTATATCTCAACTTTAGGCTCCAGTGGTAAAGTCATTCAGAAAGCTTGCAGAAGTCGTTTGAGTTCCCCACACCTGACTGCGAGGGTTGTGGGCACAAATTCCAGATGCAGACACCGCTGCAGTACCCCTGAGCAAGGCACTTTAACCTGACCGACCAAGCGAGCCCAGCTGTATAAATTAGTTCCAACATTTGTATGTGGGGAAAAAAATCAGTTGCTGTAATATCTGTATGCTGCTTTGAGTAAAAGTCTCAATGAAATAGATTAGTTATAAAAATAAAGAAAGATCACACAAGAAGAATAAATTACAGAAATTATGCATATTTGAATAGCTAGAAAATGCCGGTTGGAAAACAAATACAAAATGGTAAAATACGAAAAACTTGCCTAAAGCTGTTCATTACAAAAAGCCTTCAAGATATCAATAATGTCACTGGTTTCTACCTGTGACATTGCATAGCTGAGCTTTCCAATCCACGTGCTTACACTTACAGCTTTCTGCTCTGGTTCTTTTCATATAGATGAATAAATATATCTTTCAGTCTTAATTACTAAAGGGATATTTTTTCTTTACAAACCCATGCCTAATAGTTTAGGCCATTCATATTTTGTATATAGCATCTAATTATTGAAGGCAGCTTTGAAAAGACCATTCAATTCTGACAATGCTGAAAAGATTCCCATTCCTCATTAAGCATTGAAGTATCTTTGTAATTCAAAGAATAGATTTCTACTCATCTTTGATACTGAATTTTAATCATCAAAATGTTCATGACTATTCAAACTGAATGGAATACATTTCTTATTAGTGTTAAAGCACACAAAAAAACATTCACATTATAACACTTCCAAAAATACTATAATTTCCTCTCATGTCCAATAGACATGTGAAAATTAGATTTTTGGTAATATTATCCATGCTTGCATTCATGTCAGAAGGTTTTCAAAAAGTGGTGATTATTTTTTTGTAGTCTGTACACAAGTTACATAAAAGAATCAACCTAGGGAATTTGTGTACATATGAAATGTTTCACAAAACTGCTTGAACAAAAGTCACATACATGTACAGTATATAATTTTCTAAACATCCTAGAATTGAAAGGAAATCTTTCTGAAACACAACTAAAAAGAATAATCAGCATAAACTGTTGTACAATTGATTCAAACAATTTAATTGTTTTAATAGATTTTTATTTTATGCTACAAAACTACCTTGGAAGAATGCAATTTTAAAGCCCACATTCCTCAACAAACTTGCCTTCTGTCACACCTGCACATACTTCAGGCAATCTGTCATACAATTAGAGTAGTTAACTTATGGTAAAGTCTAGAGCTTGCACTTCCGTTACAAAATTTGCTATTATTCCTCTTTAATCTGTCTGTGTGTTCCATGTTTTAAACATTAAGAAAACTAATTTAATTAGGTCCTAAATCACATTCTTCAGGTTGGTACAAAGCTTAACTATTAAATAATGCTGTTTCTGTGTTCTCTTCTGTTTTTTTAACAGCAAATATAACACTTTACATTTCTGTTTTAATCCCCATATTTAACATTAATTCCTTAAACTTCGGTTCATTTCACATAATCTCTAATTGTCTTCGGGACAGTCTTTACGGGTTAGAATCTGTTATAGGCATTTTTATTTTTTCTTCTCTCTACAAAAATCTTGCCCTTTTATGAGATGAAACTTGAAGAGCTAAAACAAACAGGTAGCAAGCTAAGTTTTTTAAAAGAAGAGTTTTCTGACTTAAATCAGCTTTTTTCAATTTGTTTTCTCTTGACTTTGTTGAATGATGTTGTTCTAAAACCCAGTCTGCAGAATATGTGCTCCTTTTTTAATTTCCATCGCAGAAATGCCTTTTTTATGAAAGGCAGTTATGGATATTTGATCATCCCCTTGTTTGGAGCCATAGCAACTGGCTAACCCTCACCAACACGGGCTACGTGAAGATTTGAGGTGGTTATGCCGCTGCACAGAAAAAGGATATCAGAAAAACAGAATGTTACATTTGTAAAAGTGCAAGGCAGGAAGGAAATGGGTGGGTCAAAGCTGTTCTTTTTTCTACAGGAAAATAAACCTAACCCCATAACTCATTTTTAAATAAAAATGAGAAACAAAACCGGTTGTGAAATTCAGGTACGTTGATCTCACTGGTCTCCTGACATCAACACCACTGGTCACAAACTGGATAGGACGCCAGTGTATAACAGGGCACACACACTCACACCACAGCCAGTTTTCACTGAATTAAATTACCAGTATGTCGCTGGACTGTGGGAGTAAACCAGAGCACCCAGATGAAACCCAGTTGTACACAGGTTTGTACATACAAACTCCACACAGATAACAGCTTGGGAATTGAACTTGAGGCCCCAGAGCAGTAAAAGAATTCATTAGAACAACACGTCAAAGTGTTAGAAAGTGAAGGCTACCCCAATGGGTCAGGGAAGAAAACCCAAACTCCAAAAGTAATGTAAAGTTTGTCTGTATTTCAGGAGACGAGTGACAGGAAACATTTAGTAGAGATGCTTAAAAAACTCACTGCAAGCAGATGTTAATGTTGATAAAAAACAGTAAGAAAAACAACACAAAACGATCTCAATGGGTGTGTTGGTGCTTAGAAGCTTCAACTGAGAAGACGAAACATTAATGTTAATCACATTAATTTAATGCAGATTTTGCATTGTACATCTGCTGTTATACTGTTTCCCTAATAATTTTCCAATGGTGCCTATATATTTTATATTTCATGGATTATATTAATATTATATTATTTGAGTATGCTTATTAAATGAATTTTCTATCCAAAGTGTGTTGATGAAGGACTTGCAAAGACATATTCTGAGCAAATGACATCTGTGACTAACTGCCTTCAGAAACTTCTGAGGGTATCATAGACTAATACCAAGAGGTGTTTTGCTGCTATTCTGTTGAATATTGATTCTGTTGTCTGTTTTGTAATTCTGTTAAAACTGAGATTTACCATGCAATGAATCAGTAAAACGTTTAAAACTTTATTCAGTGAGTTACTGAGTTGTACTGGTGTCAAAGACAAAGATTACATGATGTCCTTTCTGTATTCCTTCCGTGTACTCAGTGCATATTAAAAACATTCAAGATTATGTTACAGCCTGAGCACTGATTAGAAAAGCAATGTTTTGAGGAAAATAAAACATGGAAGTCACAGTTTGACTGCATCTAAAGATAAAAAATAATTCTGGCATCCATTTGTTAATTTTCATTTAAGGACTACTGTATTTGTTTCACATGAGAAATAAACATTCAGTTAATGTTGGTCTTAAAGTCTGTAATTTGTACTGCCTGAATTGTATGGAGTTGCTTGGGTTTAATCATGAACTACATGTGGGCCACAAGCCACAGGTTGGGAAACAATCACCTTACTAGAAATGAGAATTTCCTCCAACTCTCAAAACCCCAACTCACAAATCTCATCTGTCAAACTGGGTTTTGAGATGATTAATACATCTCCCGAACTGCGAAGTATTGCAGTTCTTAATGTTAGTGAATTATTAATATCATTTTATTGTGAAATTAGTCACTTCACTAAAGATCTATTCCTACCTGCAAATATGAATGAGTGTTCAACAAAGAAGAGATACCTCTGTATTGTAGTATGTAAAATAGGAAGGAGGGTATACTCAGTACTGATATTACTTACAATAAAGTAATCCTAGAAGCAATACTGTTTTTGTATTCCAGAGTTTTCTCATATTTGAGAAATAGAGCACATTTTGTGTTCGCAAGTATTCTCTGTTTGCATGGGTTTTTGCTTCAGTTTCTTACTACCTTCCAAATACATGCTAGCGAGGTTAACTGGTGTCTGTAATTTGTCTGTTTGTGAACTCTACAAGGTACAAGCAGACTAAGAGTCTAGTACTTTCTGGGACTGGCCTCAATCATCTAACATCAGTTCTGTTCCTCTGATGTTCATATGTGATAGAGAGAGCCACAAGCTAGATGGTAGCCCAAACCCTACTCTTGACCTACAAATTTCACACAAACAAATTAAAACTGCATCTAGAATGCAACAACACAGTGGCTGTTCCAGGTGAAGATTGTTCCCAATTCTCTCTGTCCCAGGTGTTCTCAGGGTGTGGCATTTACCTAAACACATTTTAGGAGAATATTTTTGCGCGTCTGTGATATGCTTTCAGGTGTGTGCCATTTTAGCCCTTTGCTGCTCCTATTGAATGATTATTCCTAAAGCACTATCCATTTTAAATCATAACATCTTTTGTTAATCAGGCCTGACTGCAGCCAAAAGCTATTCTGTAGGGCTGGGAGGAAAGGAAGATACCTTTTGAACCACACCTGGTGGCTTTTCATGGGTGCAAACTATTCTTATCAATAGAAGTTCAGACAGATTATCTTCAGTTCGTGTAAAAAGTGTGCCAACCTGGTCAGACACATTCTTTTGCTCTCTGAGATGCTCTCAGTTTTGTTTGTTCACCCAGGTCTCTTTATTATACTCTTGGTGTGAATACGTTCATGTCTTAAAACAATCAAGCTGCAGTAAGACCAATAAAAGCAAATCTCAGAACTATTGTTTAGGTACTGTTTCTAAAGCAAGAAGGTGAAACAATTCTCTTCTCATCCCTTTTCCACTACTACTACTCAGTAAGTAATCAGGTTCATTTGTGGAAAGAAGTATTTCTTTCTTTCTACACATACTTACCCACAAGCATATTTATACACATGGATATGCACCCACTAAGCCAAGCAATCTAGTGCACAGCAGGTTTTAAATGAACCCACTTTAGTATGACATCCTGCTTTACCCTGTGCCAACAAATCTAAGTCTGCTTCCTGCTGATCCCCCGAAGACTGACCTGTTAATGACAGTGACTTTAGCAAAGACAGTTCCCATGCTGAGAACTTACCCTCAGCAACCGTGAGCAGGTTGCCAAAATCCACACTTGAGTGAGACGGCTGTGGCTCACAGTTCTTGACGTTTCCAAGAAGCAAGAAGGGATCGTAATCTGTAGCTGACAGGTCAGCTAGACTAAGAAGATAATGGCTCTGCTGGGTGTGGAGGTTAGACCCATAAACACAGCAGTGCAACACCTGGCGGAAAGCACAGAATATGTTAGCGTTAATGTGGCAATTTCATACTGTTCACAACTTTATTCACTTCACGCAAGTCTCATTACAACTTCAAATACCACTTCATAAAAGTTTTAAGGGGACCCATGTCATATGCCAATCGATGAAATAAGGTATTTTCACATTTAAAATGTAGAAATTGCATTGAATGTCATAAATTGAAATGTACATTTGCAATTGATAAAACTATCTGCCATGGCAAGGTTGAAACCAATGGCAGTTCAATCCTGTTCAATTCTTGTGTCTATAGGTTTCCTATGTCTGTCTAAAAGCAGAAGCACTTGAGGAGCTGGGAAAAGCTGTTAAATCGGTCCAATTAAGGCAATAATGAGCTGAGCTGGAATGGAAACTCGCTGACACCTTTGCCCTATAGGATCAAGACTGGATGGCTCTTTACTAACCCACCAGCTTAATCAGACACTCAAGGACCTTTAACACAACGTTGCAGAAAACAGTCACAAAGCTTTAAAAAAAGGAAGCTTAAGTAAGAAAGTCACAGGCTTTTGTTCTGCAGGGAACCAATAAACAGGAAGCATGTTCACTATATACACATAGCTTCTGTGTAATGTGTGTTTACTTCAGCTCAGTGCAAAAAAGCAGTATTCATTGGGAAGGCTTACAAGATCCTACCATCCCAAAGGCAAAAAAAAAAATAACTGTAACCTTTTTAGGTCATCAGGTGGCAAAATGTGAAGTCGGTGGAATCTGGCTTGATATTTAGGGTGACGTCCCTGACGAGAAAGGCTGATATTTCATTAAATAAAATCTTCCACTCACATTCTATAAAAAAAATGAAAGTTAACAAAATGGCTGTTCCTTCAGTTCTCCTTTTTGTTTGCTACAGTAAACATTATCGACTCGAAACTGCTTTAACACACCTGTTCATTACTTTTCTTTTTCCAAACACAATAATAAGCTGCAAAGCAGCAGGTACTGGAGTACCCAGGTGCCCAAAGGGTACTTAAATAGTCAATCTAACTTTGCCATTCCACACATGTAAGGAGGGTTTTCTGATTCATCAGACGCCTTGTATGGGGTCCCTGAAACAAGCTCTCACCAATAATGTAGTTATCTGACAGTATATTGCAAAGTCACACAATTTCCCGTATCTGTCATCCACCTGTCTCTTTTTTCCTCCAGGACTTAATTAAAACCAGAAAGCTTCACTGCACAGACTAATCTTAGCTTAGTCAAAAATCTAGTAATTAAGAGTCCCTGGAGTTATATTTACAAGCAAATGAATTATGTAAAGTTCATCCCTGAATAAACAAAATGAGGAAGCTGCTTAGCATGGCTTATGATGGAATCCTTAATAAGGGTATTCTGTTGGTACTCATCTGTGCTTCTCCATGTAATAATGTTTCTTTGTATGAAACATGCAGCCTTTAAAGGGCAAATGTTAGATTATTACAAAAAGAAAAAAAACCGCTGAATGTCAGGAGCAGACAAAAGAAGTCATTTTAATAGAAGGAACGCTGAGGACCTGTAAACAAATCTACAAAGCACACAGAAGGTGCCTTGTAAAAATATTCACCCCCTATCAACAACGTCACATTGCAATGCTTTTAAATATAACATAGTTATTAAAATAAACAAGAAATAAGTATATAATATATACGTATTATACTTATTACATACTAAAATATTTATACTTTTTTATATGTATTTTTATATTTGTAATGGACCAAATATAATGAGGTGTTGCTCGTGTGTTAATAATAATTATTAATAATTAATAATGTACAAATAACATCCTATTATGCTTAGGATCGGCTATAGAAATGCTGGGCAAGCCTAGTTGCCTGGTTACCTATAATAAGACCTCAGTGACTTTGGAAGAGGGGTGATTGTTGAGCCTGTTTGTCAGGAGCTTCAGTGACCGAGACAGCTCATCTCACTGATGTTTCATGAGTAATGGTCCTAGGTGATGTCAGCATGGAGCTCTAAGGGGAAAGACACCATCAGCCAAGGGCACCAGTGGGAGGAACCGTTCACAACCGGATCGTGACACTCGTGCATTAAGTCAAGGTGCAAACCAAAACAGGCAAACAACTGCAGATTGATTGACTTCACATGTCAATCTGGGGCCAGGAACAACCAGTTTAATTAAAAAGTGGTCTGCTAAATATTCCACAGAGCAGGATACTATAGTCAGATTTCAGTGCACAAATTGTACTGAAAAAGCACAAGGCCAGGGGTGCACAAAGTGCAGAGAACAGACTGCCACTAAAACATTCCCCGTGTAGTATATCTTGTTGCCCACTAAGGAATGATCAGCAATAACTGCTTGGATCTGTAGAGTTTACCTACAGTACATATATATTTTCATACTTTAATCTTTAAAAACATCTACTTTTTTGAAGTTTTTTGAAATATTGACTGAATTGATTGATTTTGTTATCCAAATACTTGGTTCAGTACAAATAAAATCAACACTCTTAAATTTGGAGCTATTGGTACCAATGAAATGGGGTGAAGAACAATTGTATACTGTAGATGTGAAATAAAGAGCAAGTTACTTAGTTTATTGTGGTATTATCAGTTTTCAGTAGCTATGTTGGCTCACAGATTTGCTAAACGTTTTGTTGAAAGCTGCACATACAGGATTTATGCTTGATTTAATGTGTATACCAGTTCTATTTGCCCTGCGATATTCCTTTCATGGGACAATGTGCTCATTGATTGCCAGGTGTGGCTCCGTTTCTCCCCCGCAACCCTGTAAAGTGGTTAGAAAATGGATGGATGGATCACTAGTACAGATGGCTTCCTATCCTTTCCAGAGAATCAACTGGGAATGGCTGTTCTTCAGGTATGACCAGGCTGGAAACAAATTCCGCCATAGAAAGTGTGATAATGTCTGATGAAGTATCAGGGCTGCAGAGCTCCAAAAATCATTTCTCCTGGAAGAGTGGAAACCACCATCTATGATCGTCTTGGTACAGTATGTCAAAAATTTATGGAAGGTAGGTGTCAAAAACATCAACCCACAATATCACTACAAGGTAGTGTTAATCAAAAGGAGAGCTGACTCTCCCCTCCAGAACTGATCCAGAAAATTCAGTGACTTGTCTGGAAGCTGGTGAAGAGATACGTGTTCACCACTTGGGAACTGACACCACAATTAAGTCAATGTAGTAAGTACTTGGCATTATCACCCTGACATTAAAGATCTGGGTGTATTATTGCCAACACATTCTGAGAATTGAAGAGGGTAGCATATTGCACAAAACTACAATCACTGGCCAAGATGACATTGATACAATGAAAGTACTGCAAAAAATGTCATGCACAAAAAATGATAAAAACTGTCCCAGTCTAATGCCAGAGTTGGTCCCTTTATGAAAAATAAAGAAGCAACATGTAAGGTCAGTTAATAAGTGATACGTGATAAGTGATAAAATAAGTGATAATTATTTATTGGTGCAAATTAAATAAGAGTAATCATTAATAAAGTGGATTTTTTAAACCTATTTACTGGAAACTTTTGCAATTATGACAATAAATGGTCAGAAATTCCCAAAGAGAAATAACAAATGCATACAAGAATTTATTAATCTTAATCTGTGTTAATAGAAATGTTGCTGTGGTGTACATGCTACTGCTTGGTCAACTGACAAAATACAATGAGTCAACAAAAGAAAGTAATCCAGATTGGGAAATATTGTAATTTAATCTATATTCAAAGCTGTTCAGACACAAACCTGTTCTGTCCTGAAATCACACTAAGCACTATTCCACCAGAACATTCTCAGACTTTCTTCAGGGCATCAGCTCATCATAGCATGAAGTACAAAGCTTTTCTAAATGAAGGCTGAATCGCATGGTAGAAGACGAACTGATAAGCAGAGAACACTATAGGCAATAACATAAAGAGCACTACTAAGGATTTTTAAAATACATTTCAACTCGAATCTCTGTTTCGATCCAAGAGTATTCAATCATGATAATAATTGCTTACACTTATATAGTGCTTTTCTGGACACTCCACTCAAAGCGCTTTATAGGTAATGGGGACTCCCCTCCACCACCACCAGTGTGCAGCCCAACCTGGATGATGTGACGGCAGCAATAGTGCACCAGTACGCCCAACACACACCAGCTCTCAGTGGGGAGGAGAGCAGAGTGATGAAGCCAATTCATAGATAGGGATTATTAGGGGGAAATGTGGCCAGGACGTCTGGGTTACATCCCTACTTTTTTTGAGAAATGACCACAGAGAGTCAGGACCTCGGTTTTACGTCTCATCCGAAGGACGGCACCTTTTTGCACCTGTAGGTATTGGATTCCCTATCAATACCCACCAGTGTATTTTCCTAAAATGAGAACCATCAATAAGGATTGCACCACATGGGTCTCCTGATCACCGCCCACAGATCAGGACTTAATAATCATTATCAATCATTAAGAACAATGAAAACGTATGCATAGGGACAGCATGAACTACAGTCTTTTCTTGACTGTCAAAGACACTAAGTCAGAGCATGCAAAAATGTACTGTACACCTAGCTCACTCATGACAGGTGCTTGAAACTCTGAAGATGGCACCACAGCATCAGCCTTTGAACTACAGACACTGCATGTTTCTCAAACTGTTAATCTCTTCTGATCAATGAGATATAATTGATTCAGTTTTTACTCAAAATGAATTAGAAACATACAGTAGTTACATATTTTTAAACCAGTGTTTATTAAAACAATGTTTTTTGCCAATCCCAGCATGCTGAGAACAGAAAATTTCAGGAAACAAAAATTCAGAGACAGATAACATTAAATTTGAAGAACTCTTCACCAAAGCCTGTACAGTGTAACTCCTCAGTGTAAGAGTGCTCTGAATTGTAACAGTGTTTGGCACAAATCCCCCTTCTTCCATCCAATGAGGATGGAATATCACAGGAACAATGGAATATATCAATCTTTCATTCTATACTGTGAAACCAAACTCACTGAGTAACTGCCAGCAAGCTAATCAAAGTCCAAACCCATGGTAGCCTATTTCCAGGATTCCTTGATAAGGATTCAAACATTCATCCTTTACCAGTTATGAACTCAATAAATAATCTTAAATTGTGAGTTACAATTTAGAAAGAGCATAATCCTCACAGAATTCTTATTTTGTGTTCAGGTGAATTTGTTGTGAATATTCTTGATGAATTACTGTTGTTATTGAGAAAACTCCAGCATTCACCTATCTTGAATCTATATGTTACAGATTACAAGAGACCTGATGTACAGAATATCTTGACAGCATCTCAAACATCATTAGGGGCTTACACGGTTAAACTGATATTGAATAACACTAAACAATACATTACCTTCCTCTAAATTAAACATACAGTAGTCTACATTTTTGGTAGAAAGCTTTAAAAAAGTACTATCTTGACAAAGATCCACATCTTTGAAGCTGGGTTTCCTAAGAGATATAAGACTGAATTGCTTTAAATGATGACAACATTTTAACATTGCTTTCCCCCAATAAAAAAAACAAAAAGTGCTGTTAAAAATTTACCTTAATTAAAGGTTTTTTTATTACTTTAAATTAAAAATTTATTACTTTGTAATAAACCTCTTGACCAGTAGAGCTTGCTTTATAAGAATAAACTGACACAGAAAAGTTTGAGAAGATACAAAATAATAGGTTTTTTGGGGGACAGTAAAAAGGTATTTATAATATTGATGTGAAGTCTAAGCAGTCAGTCTATTGCTTATTGATCAGTATTGCGATTGGTACAGTTCCTTTATTTTTTTTTAACTGTGAAGTAAATCATATTTTGAAAAAAATGTTCAGTGAAAATATTTAATAAAAATTATTAAAGACTATTCGGAAAGACCGACAGTCTAAGACTACATTATGCCTTTAAATCTAGACTAAAGTATCTATTAAAAACAACATATTTTGTACATTTTTTAAATATTGTATTTATACATTAAATAACAGGAACTTAATTGCAAAATAATGAATATTGTACAATTTTCTCTAAGATTCAAATGTTGAGTCTAAAATCTGTTAGTCTGAAAAGATTACTGTACGCATTAAAGAGAGACTACATTTTCTGGGAAATTTGGTATTGTTAATTACAGTGCTCCGCAAAAGCATTCACTCCCTTCCAAAGGTATCCCATTTTGCTGAATTATAAATGATGTGCACACAGTTTTGAAGTGAATATTTTATTCAAAACTTGAATGCTCAAGCTGAATACTTTTATAAGTAAAATAAGTAAATACCAGTAAAAACCAATATATGTCGATTGCAATAAGTACTCACCCCTTAACCACTGAAAACCTAAATTAGTTTAGGTTTACAAAATTACTTTGAAAAGTCACAAAACTCATTGAATTGTATCTGATTGTGTGCAATAATAATGGTTCAAGTGATTTTAAAATAAGCATACGTCTTAAAAGTCAGAAGGATTAGTTTATACTGAAGAAAAAGCAAATGAAATACAAAAACCCGGGCAGATGGCATTTAATGTAGTCATAGTGTAGTGCAGGGTTTTGCATGCAGGTAGTAAAAAGTATAACTATAAATACAAAATGGGAAACTACATGATAGAGGCAGCTTAACTGTTTATGTTGACACATTTCAATTTTCTAGACACCTAGGGAAGCAACAGGAAGATAAACAAAATGGTAAGACATAAGTCAAAAGCAAATAATTGAAATCGCGGGAAGTTACTGTATGTTAAAATTTTACAAGGACCTTAAATACACCTTTTTGTATAATTTTGGGCACCATATCGCAAAAAAAGATAATGCTGCCCTGGAATTAGTTAATGGAAGAGACAGCCTTGGGCTAATAAGAATGTCCGGCACCAGCGGAAAAAATGAACTGTTTTTGTCTTGGACAGGATCCCAGTATTCAGAATCCTTAGAGGCATCAACAGAGTCAACCTGGTGGACCTCTTTGTAATCCCCTGTGAAACATGATCCAGAAGACACAAACGGAAACCTGGGGGGAAGTGCATTCACAAATGAGAACAGGAGACGCGTCTTTTGGCGAAGCCATGTTGTTCGAAGCCGATACGCCTTTCAACAAACACCTGCGCGCGGTCCTCAGATCACTCAGCCACTACTTGCCCAATGAGCTAGAGAGCCCAAATGGCCTCCTGTCGTCTGTTACCTTGCTTTTGTTCTTACGAGCCACTTGAGACCCTAAGCAGAGCCTAAAATTTGAAACTCCGGATATCCTCCTCAGATTGCTCACTTGACAGTGCCATGTCTTGGACACCTCTTGTGTTTCGTGGGCAGCCAGAATCACATTCATTATCTTCAGAAATATTTTTATACATTGCCACGGAAGCCACTTCATTTTAATTGAAAAAAACTATTCCATATAGTTGTTTTAGCTTTTTAATATGTGAACTGCAGACTGTTCATTAATGGCACTATTTAAAATGCATTGCTTTCGCTTAAGTTATGCCTCCCACAGTTAGTGTATCACCAGGCACCTGCTCAGCGAAACCAGATCCTGTTTACGCTGTATATTCAGAATAGGAGTCAATTAATTGCCCGGTTAAAAACACAATTGGCGCTTGAAAAAAATTACATTTACTTAAACAAAATAATGTTCAAAAAGATAAACGATTGCTGCACAATTACATTTTGTGAAGTGTGTATGATTAAATTAATTAATATGTTGCTTGGTGTGTTAAATTGCTTTATTCACAGTTAAATAAAGTGAGTGCTATGGCGGGCTAAATCTGTTCTTGAAAGCAGGCCAAACATACCATAATTTACTGAAAGTCTAGGCATGACCAAAATTACAAATAGTATTATTTAATAGTATTATTTGTAGCACAGTGTGTTTCTAAAGTTTAAATATCTCCCCTTAAAATGCCATTAGCAGTCATTGTGTCTTCACTACATTCTAATTTAGAAAAACTTAGTTATGACCCACTGAGCGTGGGATGTTTTCTGGCACGACAAATATTTAAAATATCATAGTTGTGATAATTGTACATTAGGAAGGGTCTCCATTCTGATGAAAAAAAGAATATTCTTACAACATGGCATTCTAAAACTGGAGACAATAAGTGTGTAATTATATACATGCACCCTCCTATACAAACTCTCGATTAATGAATTTTTCAACAACAAAGCAATTGTTCTGATGTCAGTATTCAGTATACAAAAGCATTTTCAATAACTACGAATGCTTTCCCCTTATAATCTCTTGCGAACTTTGTGATTTTTATCCTTGAATATCCTCATTTTTAATAACATATCAGTAAATACACTGCCAGTGCTGCAGTTGTGACAAAACCAAAGAAAATTAAGGAAAGCATTCTCTCTGCTATTGCTCTTTGGAAAGTATCAAGCATGTCAGCTTTCCATTCACCTTAACAAAAAATATACATCTCTTCTATTGAACCACAAAAAAAACTATTTTCCTTTCCTCTAATAGAACAAGTGTCAAGACCTTTTTACTGTGTGCAAAAATCTTCCTTTCAAATCATTAAAAAAAACAATAAATACAGTTTCCCTGAGAGCAGTGGCGGTAGAGTTACTGAACCCAACCCAAAATGTAGAGGAAGTTTGTGTACAGGATTTGCGCTTTGATTGCAAAGACACATCCCTGTCAGACTAGATCTGAGACAGATCATTGAAGAGGAGCACTGCAGTTGGAGAGCGGCAGAGAACAACAGGGAGCACATGTACAGTATGGGAGACTGATGCAGGCGTGTCAACAAAGGGGAACCTGTCTTGGGTGGGCTATTCAGGCTCAGACAAGACACAACTGAATCCTGACCAAGTGATCAAGATCAATTTATTGGCCATAAACAATTTCTTGCATTGCGAAAATTAGTCTTTTCGCATACCCCAGCTCTCCATGAGACACACAGGCACACAAACGTGCCTGTGAGAAGCTTGGGGTCAGAGCGCAGGGTCAGCCATTTATATGGCACCCCTTGAGCAGTCGGGGTTAAGGGCCTTGCTCAAGGGCCCAATGGAGTAGGAGTCCTCTGCCAGCCACGGGATTTGAACCGACAACCTTCCAGCCACAGATGCAGATCCTTAGCCACAGAGCCATCGCTCTGCCCTGCCACATGGTTGAGCAAGTGGGCCACACCTTTCATAACACTTCAAACATAGGGCACGGACTGAAATTCAACTAGCCTACCTCTCAGCACTGTACTGTAAGACATTTAAAATCTTCATGGATTATATCACTGAAAACAAATAGGTTCTGTGTTAGAATTTTATCAGCAGCAAACACATTTGAAATGCAATTTTTTTTTGTACACTTCAGTGTTCATGTAGAAGTTTGAATGTATTTTTCAAATATTTATAGCCTTTTCTGGTTAGTACCCAGAAGGCAAGACAACAATCAATGTCTTGCATGCACATGAAATTAAGGAGCTGGTCCCGTTTGCCTTTTGGATGCTGTTAACCACAGCTCGCTGAAATCACACAGACATTTATTTAATAATGAAAAGCTTTATTAAGTTCATGCTTTGCTGGCCTTAGGAATTAACTTTGAGATTTGTCATTCTGACCTGGCTTTTAATAAGAGTTGAAATGCTTCGAGAGAAGAAACGGCTAACACTAATGTACTACAGACCCATTAAAAGGCCAATTATGGATTGTCGTATATTTTAACTATGAGCATTTTGTTCTAAATATATTTTATTACCAGAACCAGAAGCTCAATTGGAAGCTCAATGATTAGGCAGCTGCTATGGCTAAAGCTATACATACCCTGTAAATATAGTCCAGCAGAGGAGCTTTTTGTGAAGAGTCTTCAAGCACAGGCATGGTAATAGGCTCTAGCAGTGTATTCAAAGGTATTGCCATGCACCAATCCAGCAGGCAGAGCAGCAGTGATACCATTAGCTAAATAACATAAAAATAAAAAAGGTCTTCCATTAGAGGAGCATTGCTTTCTCAACCACAAGCTACACAAAAATAATCAATTAGCAAGTAGAAAGCATTGTGAAGACAGCCTTACTCTGAATTCCATTACAACAGGAGAGGATCCTCTTTAAATGACATTAATAAAGGGACAATAGCTCTTTTTATGTGGAACCTTTTACCTTTTTATCTGCTTCCACAGTTGAATGTTCTGCGTTCGGCAAGAGAAATGCGATTGTAGCCACAAAAATCTGTAATATAAAAAAAAGCATTGAACATGAGGTTGCAACCCTTCTCACAGCATAGCCACACGATAAAGCATGTTGTAAAACTAACTGTGGAATACACCTTGAGCACAGTGTGTTTTAGGATGAGGACTTACTTCAGTAATTTTCTTCGGGAGAGAGTATTCATATCTCTGAAGGTTTTGCCAGTGACAGATTAAAAGCTGGAACACATCGCATGCGACATGGGCAACCACTTTATTTGAAAACTAGGGAGGAAGAACACAAGAAAAGCCATCAGTGCTTGCTAATAGTGAACAGTTTTCTTGTACACTGGTTCTTACAACAACTGTTAACACGAATATGGAAAGCAGAGTAATTTGAGGCAGCATAATAAATAACACCTTGATTTTATTTTGATATCAAAACAGAATTATACTGTATCTGAAGAAGAAAGATGATCAATAGCACTGAGTGACTGAGTGAAGAAAGGAGACATTTATCTCTTTTTAAACCTAAGGCCTAATACGAGAAAGCCTGAACAGAGGTGCTTCCACTTCATCCCATCAAATTGTTTAGTGTGATCACATATCTGGCCTCTTTCTGATGGCTAGACATTTATTTGAGAAGAAGTCACAATCAGCATTATTATGATGAGCCGGTCCAGTATTTCAAGAGTTTCACTCTATATTCATTTCTTAACAGAGGTGCACAATTGCTCAAATCTGCAGTTTCTTGCAGATTAAAAGCAGTTTCTTGATGTTTCCACTGTTACAATTCCATATTCGCGGAAGGTATGTGCCTTACAAAATAACTCAAATGAGAATAAATAATTCCAAAACCTTCTAAATTGAATATGTATGTTCCATTTAATATTTTGTACGTATTCTTTTATTTCTATCAACACAATAAGGCCACCTCAAATGTAAACATTACAAAATTTCCCCAGACTAATGGCACTTATTAAAAGTTGATTTGAAGAAGTTGTTTCCTATGTACATCTGTACAGAACCTCTTATTTTTTCCCCACTATTTCTTAAAAGTGAGTAACATACAATACGATTAGACAAGAATCACTTTCCAGAATTCATCTGTAAAGAAGCAGTTTATTGTTCTGTTTATATGATGTGTACCACTCCAAATAACAAATATCATATATTTCCTAAAACAAATCCACATTACGATAAAACTGTAAAACTACAATTACTCACAAACAGTGCTGCCACACCTGGTTATACCCATTTTAACACTGAATAATAAAAACCTACCAAGTATTTACTTCTCATCAACATGGAATTTGTACAGACTACCAGACTTGTGGAATATGACAAATAAAACTTTGGAAAACAATCTTTAGCAAGATACTAAACCTTAAAGTTCAACACCTGCTTTTAGCAAAAGACTTTTCGTCTCTTTCTTGGTCACTTTATTCCTTATGGCAAGTTTCTAAGAGGAAATGATTACTTTTCCATTAGCGAGAGAATTGTTGCTGCAGGAGGTAGGATGATAAAAACTGTTTAAATTGCCGCATATCCTCTGAGCACACACTTGCCTGGGAAACAGGTAGCCTGGAAATAATGGCACTGCACCAACATTTTTTAGCCTTCTGGGACCACAAATTCTCTACATCTTTTAAAGCAAAAAAAGAAATCTCTTATAACCCATTTGAGTACCAAGCATGAAATAGTTCCCTATTACATGAAGAACAGGCACCAGTCTATAAAAATAACCAAAATTGCACAGAGCCAAGGAAAATTGGGGATTTAAGACAATTTATTTTCTTTCTGCTCATATTATACATCATGTTTACTTAGGATTTGAAGAGAAATTTGTTGTGCCTTATTTAAAAGGTGGCTTGACCAAATGGGATCCTTTTTTTTGTATGTTACTTTACACACACTGTCATTGCAAGATGATGCATCTCCAGTATTTTAAAGGATGCACAATGCATTTTGATTTTAAAAAAAGTTATTTTAGAATAAATTGAGGTGCATTAGTTGTTATATACATACAATACACCTGTTATTCACTTTTTGGAGGAACACTTGTACAGTAGCAAACTCATAGTCCGTCAAGCATCATGTATTTTTGCTGTCCAGGAACTACAAGACCAAGAGCATCATTATTCATGGCATATACCCTTTCCTAAAAACATATCAAGAGCATACGCAAAAAAGGACACTATGAATGGTGAATTGGAAGCTTCAAAAACCACCAATATAAAAAAGAGGCCTACAAAAATCAGAGGTAGATTAATTTTTCATAGCGGTATCTATCCTGTAATTCAGTTCAAAGCCTCATGATGTCAGTCTAGTCATGTCAATGAAATTCAGATGAAGAATAATTAAGTAGTTAACACATTAACTATACTTTATACTTGTGAAACAGCCCCAATAATGAGCAACTAGAACAGGCCAAAATTTCTTATTACTCAAACAAAGAATAAATAGCTTGCAGTGTCACTATATTGTTTTATTAACATGAAGAAGAAAATAAAAAATAAGACAAGGAAAAAAAACTCCCACACTAAGACTACAAATGGCAATGCAATGTAAAGTATTTTTGATTTGAGGTAATTTCTGTTAACATGACCGTGAAAAAAATCCTGAAATAATCATAAAACGTGTATTGAACGAGAAGCACGTCAATAAACCAAATGAGTTGAGTGTCATAAAATATTTAATTCAATCTGAGGTAGACCTATAAATGTTACTTCGTTCATACCCATCATACCCAGGGAGGCAAACAGAACCTGGCTTCACCTCACTGACACTTCAAAGGGCTGTGCTTTTTAAAATAAAACCTCAACCAGAGAAGGAAAAAAACATAAGAATTTGAACAAGACCAGAGATTTAATGTCTTTCACACTTGCCTGGTTTCACTGTTTGCTGACTATTGGAAATCCTGTGTTTTTAACTTGTGCTATCATTAGGGGATGGGAAATTCAGCCCTGTTTATTTTTTTATTTACTTTTATTTACTTCAGCATTGAAGTATAGTAAATATGTATTTATTTGCATGTATTTGTATTTGTATGCATTTGCATTTGTATCTTTTAAATGAAAGAGCAGGTAACTTCCTCTGTAGCAGCACACTTACACTTAAAAACAGATCCACTTTTTTACAAAGCTTCCAGCAAAATGATATTTTTTTACCTAAAGCGGCACCTGCCCAAAAAACAATTATGCTTGTTTTTTAGGTGGTCCATATCATCTTGTCACAGAAACACCTTTCATTTATGTTGCTGGATATACTTGCATTGTTGCATTGTTTTTAAGTGTGCAAGTGGGGGCTTAATGCACAAAAAAACTAGCATTAAGACGTTGCAGTCTACATTTAGGGATGTAGTGATTTACTAAAAAAAGTGAGGACCTAATCTATATTATGATTTATTTTTATTGTGAAGGAATAAATCAAGTGAAATATGCAGAAACAGTTCTCTTCATCACATAACATACTGGCCATTTGGTAATGATCGGCAGCACTGAACTAGCATTGGGGGAAAACAGTATTGTACTAACTGCCAGAAACAAGCAGTGCGTATTAAAAGAGTGGCTTTGGAAACCATAATTTTAGCAATGTATCATTTACCAGTTTCAAATCACTACATAATTAAAAAGATGCTTTCTAGTGGTTTGATTACTGAAGCTATCAAATGAATAACAAAAAATAATACCACCCCTTTGCAAAAACAGCTTGTCAGAAAATCAGTATTTTTGATAGCTCATGTGTCAAGTGAATTACAGTATATCAACTCTTACTACAATATGAACAGCTGCCAGCTGATGACCAATTAACATTGTAGGCAATTCTGGGATAAAACTGAGCTATTCAAATAGGATCTGCTAATCACTTATACACATACTGAGAGTAAGAAAAACATCTAAGTTGAGCAAAAGCCATTCCACAATCAAATTGAAATTAAGAGCAGTGCCAAACCAGATTAATGTGAATTAGTCCTCACTGTACCAGGCAATTTCACAAGCGCTAATATGCAAATAAAAACAATACAATGAATGTTCTTTCTTGGTTTTGTCACAGCAACAATCCAGGCAGGATATGTGAAAAAACTGAGAATGTTAAACAGTTTTATGGAGGTAGAGTTGATAAAGACGTTTCTATGATAAAGATTTAAATGATTGTAACAAAAGTATTTGCAAATTCTATAGGAAAATAACTAAACATTCTAAATATACCTAGAAAATTTCTGTAAAGAGCATCAAACGTTTCCGCTATCATAGCAGATACACTGCTATGAAAATATCAGTTTAATTTCACACTGCATACTTCCTCAAGAAAGCAACTATTTTGGGGAGTTTTACAATTTATCAGGATACATTAATTTAAAAAAATACTGCATTATTAAAAAAAATGCAAACTACAGGTTTTTGAGTGATCAAAGATCATTAAAATCAGTATGTATCATGTGATGCTCATTATAAAACTACTTATGTTATTAACAATTTGAGGAGTTCTGATTACTCTGTAGTTTGTTGTAGTAGCATGCAGTAAATATTGATAATAACATTTTTAACAGAAAGCGAAGACTGTTTAAATTGTTAACAATTCCTTTGTGGAGAATAAAGTGACATCTTGGGGCTAGAGGACTGGATTACTGCCTCTAAAAAAGCATTTAACATCCCAGGCAATGAGTATGAGAGGCAAGTTCCTCAGACTTCGACAAATAAAGCTCTACATCACTTTGCTAAAGTTAGAATAACAGCCATTCGTTGCTCTAACTTCACCAACTCCTTAACCGGAGAACTGAAATTCTCCCCTGTGCTCTAGCCAGAGGAACTCGACACTCCTCCAAAGTTACCCATTTGAGGTTTGCACATTTCTTTTTTTTATTTTTTTTTTATTTTAGAGAACAAAGCAAAACTATTTTACATATGAACAACCATTATTCAGCCTTACATCACAGGCACAAATTCCTGTTTGTTCCCCTATTTTTTACACTTATATAACTTTTTAACAAAACTATGTACATTCAAAAGAAGGAAGATGTATACATTTATGAATATGAAAAGGGAGGAGACTATATACGTGTATCTTATTAAATTTCAGTTATTTTGTATCTCAACAAAATCTGACCTTAAAGGTTTAATGTACTGAGCCCATCTAGACCAAAAGAGGTTTGCACATTTCATGTCCTACCTTCAGTGTTACACCAATTACATTTATCGCATCTCTAACATTTGGGTGATTTGTCTGCTGCACAAGTTCTTCGCAGATCCAAACGCCCAGACTACAAATGGCAATGCATCTGAAAAACAAAACAACAGTACAACAACTCACATGAGGCCCTATTTGCACTTTACAGGCTGCTTCAATTTCAGGCCAGCATTTCTTTTGACCCTCTACTTGAGATTTAAGGCCGCCTAACGTGTTCTGAAGGGCCAGGTCATTGTTCAGGAATGTATACATGACGTCAGCACAAAAATACTGAAGAGCAAAATGGCACGAGTAAGAGGTGAAAGCACTTGTACAGTCGTGCTGTATGGTGGATATTTCATTACTTGCAATGCTGTTGGTATGAGCTTTATAGAGTCCCACTACCTTCATTCCCATGCCTTTAACCAAGTTTAAAGTCACTGGCCACTTTTCCCTTTATAACGTTTATAATGATCTTATGTTCCAAGTTTTCATTTTTTAAACGTTAATCTGGCAAAGTATCACTTAAAATGGTCGTAATCTTATTAAAACGTGTTAAATGCCGGATGAGATCTAATGCCTTTTTTCAGTTTTAGGTTCAGACTTATTATCAACATCAAAATGTATTATGAATTAAATCATGATTGTGTTTGTTTTACACATTTTCTCTAGGCAATGAGTGGTAGATATTGATTGGCGGAATATTCTTTTCTACAATATTACATTATTATACAGCAATACATACAAGCATCAAAATATTTTTGTAAGAGATATTGTATACTGGGTTCTAAAGGGATAACACGTAGTTTAATACATAAGCTAGATGGGCCCCACTCATTAGCAACCTTTGTTTCTTTATGTCAGTCAGTCACAAGGTACAGTAATTATTCTTGTGTATGCTTTCTTTTAATTACATACTGTTTCTGTGGTGTCTGTGAAAGGTTATGGCTTGTTCTATACTTTCCCTTAATTTTTGGTTTCTGCAAGTCTTTAAAAAATTGGAGCATTTAGGAATGTGCTGAAAAAGAAATTCTGACAGCAGCTGTAGTAAACCAACATCAACTTGGCCCTGTACCTTGCTCCTTCACTGGGCTCATTCCTCGCAATGGTCAATAAGATGTTGATCAAATAGTCCTAAAGGAATAAAAACAGAATCAAAGAAAAAAATAATCAAAGGCAGTTAAAAATGCACTTTAAACCCATCATTACTGTATGTTTCTGGTAGAATTTCAGGAACAAAGCCTGCTAGTGAGCAATTTGCTAGATATTTGAGTCATAATTGATTTAGCTACTGAATGCAAATTCAGTGCATGTTTCTAACCACAAAAACATTACATAAAAGTAACAACAGTACGCAGAGCTTGATGCTTACCAGGAGGTTTAGATAGAAGCTGTAACTCAATGTGATGCATAATTTGCTATTGTCCACAATGACATTTGTCATACTCTGAAATGTTAGGTATTCTGATACTGGTGTTTTAGGTTAGATATTAGATATAAATCCAGTTTTACATTTCATAAGTTCAGATGCAGTCATTTAATTGGAAATAACTTATAGAAATAACTTTGTTCCAAAATAATAATAAACATTATTTGACCTTACTTTAAAAGTGGCTTCTCAAAGTGCTTTTTAGAAAACAATAATACACAGTGAGAGGAGAATGAATAGCAGAATTACACAAGTTACTATGACAGTCTGGGAAATGACAGTAGGAAAGGAAAGGGCCAGACACAGAACCAGTTAAACAGCCCTTCTAAAGAAGAAGCTTTTGAGTCTTGCTGTGAAAGAGCTCAGGGAAAGAGACTCGCTGATATCCTTAAGGATAGCTCGGAGCGCAGCAGGAGAAGGCCCTGTCACCCACAGAGTGTAGATGGTCTTGGGGGACAGACAGGAGACCAGAATTAGATGAACGAAGGCTGGGAGGTGGGGAGTAGGACGATAGTAACTCAAGACAGGTACTGAAGTACTGCCAAACAATGCAGAGCCTTACAGGTGAGCATGAGGCCTCCGACGTTGACACCTTGCCTTCTAAGGGAACATGAGCCCTCAACCTATGCCAGGAAATTGCACCCCACAAGATTATAGAAACACCAGAACCTTTCAAATATTGGAGCTGAGCAGTCAGGGCTGTAGGGTGCTTTTGGTTGGCGCAATATGTGCACTCATCCATTTGTCAAGAATACGGTGACGGATCATTCATCTAACCTGATCACATTTCTCCACTGCTCAGTAGTCCATTGCCTCTGCACCACTGGACTCACAAACATTCAAGCAGCCTGCTTTGTGCAGTTCTTGGGAAACTGGTTATGATGAAAGTGGCTAGGGACGCCCTAGGTTAAACTTTGCAGTCAGTTTCTACGCCGTTGCTTGCCTGTTTTGCCTTGTCTGAACCAATGCAAAGATACGATCCTGGAGTTTGCAATTCTCCTTACTTTGCCCCTACAGTGATGTCTTTCAGACACAGCTGGTCGTGAGAAATGTGAAACATCGGCAAGATGAGCTGTCTTGGTCGCTGAAGCTCCTGCCAAATACATCCCGGCAATGACCCCTCGTTCAAAACCACTGAGGTGTCCTCTTGTGGATATAATTACAGGCAACCAGGCCTGTCCAGCAATTCTATACCTAAGCCCAAGCATGCTAATTATACATGAGCCACATCTGTGTGAAAGCCCTCAATTTCAATATTCAGGCATCCCTCATTTACCCAAACATTTCTATTTTGTTGTCTACTACCTGTGTTTGATGCTAAACATTTTCACGCATTAACCACACATTACACTGCCTACCTTAATTTCTTCATTGCCTACGATGATATCAGTAGTTCCAGGAACTGTCTGTAGTAATGGCATCTGCTGGTATAGGTTTGGAAAGCACACTAAAGATCCAAGAAGAGTTTGTGCTTCAATTCGAGGAGCCTTTAAAATAAAGATTCCAAAATCACATTACAATCTAGAGATACAGTACCTTTGGAATATATTAGTGTAGCTTCTTCACTTCATTCAACTTCATTGCAGCGGTGCAATATGTAAGTGTACACAAACAGACATTCGTTGATGCTTAGGCACAAAAGGGAGCTAAACGTGCTCTCAAAATGATAAGGATACTAAAGTGAACTTCATTTAAATCCAAAAAAGCAACGGGCTTTGAAGTTGACAAACTAGTCTTGCAAAATCTATTGACCTTGGCCGACAAAAAGGTTACATGATGATCATGTCAGAAGAGTGAAAAAGAGAACCAGAAGGTCTGAATGGAAAATGATGTGTTAATACACTTCTAACACTGTTACAGAATGCTTAGAGCACATGCAGCTATATGTTTGTGATATGTTTTCCTACAGACAAAAGACATCTACAGTTAAAAAAAGGCAAAATGGACCAAATCAAAACAGCCACTGTGCTCTCTTAGAGTAGGCGAGAAAATGATCATGTACAGTAAAGCAATCATTTACAGTGAGGCGAATTCATGCTTTCTCATCAGCATGTCATTACGGCTGCCCAAAAGTTCACATAATCTGAACAACACTGGCTACACACAGTATATATGCCTTTGAAAATATAAAAAATGGAAAAATAGCATAATTTGTGTTCTCGGTTCGATGAAGCAAAGGTGAAAAGGAGAGCAAAACACATATATACTGTAAATATTTTCATGTGTACTTAAGCATCTTATCTACATAAAACATTTATCCAATAAACCTTGTACAGTTACACAAGTAGTGTATTTTAGAATGTCATTTTTTTCTGAAGATACTGTATAAACAGTCCAGTTCTGAATAGAGCTATATTTGCATTACACCTCAGAAATATACTGGGGACAGATGTAGAACTGCACTGCTGTTGTTTTGTACTTATTTAATGAAGGGAGAAGATGATTATCTGATCGTCAGGTCTGGCACTGCTGCGTGCACCTGGAAATTTCCATCTTCGGGCTCTCAGGTTGTTGCGCTGGTGGCTAACGAGGTTTTGAAACCCAAGATTTACACCTGAGTGTCAAGGTTGTACGGTGGAGATTTCTCACAATCTGGTCTTTTGATGAAACGCCTCTGCCCTTGCAAGACAAGTCACTTTATACTGCAATTTCACACCTCAGCTGCCATGGCATCTACCCCGAGCGCCCGGGTTCACAGCACACTAATGAGCGAGCACCTGTTCCCGTGCAGAAATCTGAACCTCGTTAGCTGCTGGAGCTCAGCCTCTCGGGGCTGGGCGGGGAGGCCCCTTGCGGGGCTGGAGGATGCCTATTTAACATTGTCATACTCACCTCCAGCGTCTCGGTGCTCAGGATGCGGGCCGCCGCGGTGATGAAATCACCCACGAGCATTGTGAAACCGGGCAAGCCGAGAAAGAAGAAGCGCGGGGAACAGTGCCTGATGACTGTGTTTAACACATCCTGGAAAAGAAAA